AGAAGGAGAATTGATGCCTTTGAGCTGTGGTGCTGGAGAAGAGGATTGAATGTACCATGGACTGCCAAGGAAACAAACAGATTCATCCGGGAGAGGATTAAACCAGGCTACTCCTTGGAGGCAAGGATTCTGGGGCTTTGTCTGACATACTTTGGACATGTTTTAAGAAGACACAGGTCCTTGGAGAGGGACATCAGGCTTGGTAGGGTGGAGGGACAGCGAAGGAGGGGAAGACCCTCTATGAGGTGGATTGATTCAGTGACTGGGATAATTGGGATGCGTGTGTCAGCGGCAGTGCGACTGGCACAGGACAGAGCAGAGTTTAGGGCTGTTGAACATAGTGTCGCTATGAGTAGCAAACAACTCGACGGCACATAACAACAACAACAACAACATCATGATGTTGCCTATAGGTCCAGGGGTAAGAATTTTTGTTTTCTTGACACTGAGATGAAATCCATATTGAAAGCTGTAGTGTTTGATCTTTTACATTAAGTGCTTCAAGTCCTCCTCACTTTCAGCAAGCATGGTGATGTCATCTGCATAATGTAGGTTTAATGATGAGTTTTCCACTGCTTCTGATGCCACATTCTTCGTCATAGAGTCCAGCTTGGAAGCATCAATAGAAGGAGGGAATGTACAGAATCAGAGTACCAAAAATAATTGGCTGACACGGAATCATTTCAGGAACTATCATATGATTACAAGTTGTTCAAGCTGCACTGACGGTACTGGCAAAAAAATGAGGCCCCAGGAATTGATGAAATACCAACTCACATGTTTCAACAAACACCTGCAGCCCTGGATGTGTTTACCAGGCTGTGCCAAGAAATCTGAAGACAGCTATCTGTACAACTAACTAAAACAGATCCATATGTTCCCATTCCCAAGAAAGTTGATCCAACAGAATGTGAACATTTTCAAACAACATCACTATTATCATATCCAAGTAAAATCTTGATGGCAATTACCAAAAATGGCTAGAACATTGACGTAGAATTGCCAGAAGGTCAAGCTGAATTCAGAAGAGGCTGTAGCATCAGGGATATCATTACTGATGTCAGATGGATCATATGGATCTTAGCTAAAAGTAGACAACACCAGAAAAATGTCTATTTGTGTTTTATTTAGCATGCAAAAGCATTTGGGTGTGTGGATCATCATAACAAATAACACTATGAAGAATGGGAATACCAGAACATTTAACTGGGCTCAAATTAGAAAGACACTCTCTAATTAGTAGTTTAGAATGTAAAATAATAAAAAGGATAGAGTAAGAATCAAACCTGTGTTCATTGGGTTGCTATGAGATATAGTCAATTTGATGGCATGCAATGGTAACCGTAGCCAGTGCAACCAAGGGATGCTGTAACTGAATGATGTTTCCTGAGGACAAAGGCCATGTCTGACTTGTCTTTTATTAGAGGGTTAGTGCTCAGTAAATGTTTTCTGATGTCTCTTTACTTTATAATGGGTTGAAGAAGGTGGTGCCAACTTACAAAAAAGATGTCCTTACCTTATCTCAAGGATGAAATTTTTAAATATGATCCCAAAACAGAGAAAATGTAGTCTACAAAATTCTACATTAGTAGCGCCACTCTAGTCAAAAAGGATTTTTTTCCTTAAAAAAGGTATAAAATGTAACCACCGTACAAATTACGAAGGATAAAAACCATATAGTAAGCTTTTATATTAACAGTGTTATAATTAACAGCACATACTTTTGTTTTTCAATGCTGTGTAATATTCCATTGTGTGAATGTACCACAATTTTTCTATCCAGTCGTTTGTTGATGAGCACTTGGGTTGCTACCATCTCTTTGCTTTTGTGAAAAACAATAGCAGCAGTTAAACATACGTATGCATACATCCGACTGAGTCATGGTTTCTTTAAGATGTATTCCCAGTAGTGGAAATGTTGGGTTAAATGATATTTCTATTTCCAACTTTTTGAGCAAGTGCCAGACCATCTTCCATAATGGATGGTCCATTTTACATTCCCACCAGCAGTGAATAACAGTTCCAATCTCTCCACAACTTTGCTAACATTTCTTGTTTGCTACTGTTGCTGGGGTGACATGTAAAATCTTTCATTTTAACCTAATATTGGTTTTCTGCTTTCAAAAAGTACCTAGATGTACATAAAAAAAATTTTTTTCCAGTCAGCTCATTTTTTTGGAGTCACAACAGATAGTTGGCTCTCCAGTGGATTCAGCAGATTTTGGGGTGCTGTAAATGACACAGGAGATTTCGCCTTCTCTGCCCTTGGAGCCCCTGGCAGATTTGAACCACCAGAGAAGTATGACCGTGCGGCTAGCAGTGCAACTCTCTATGGACTAGCTACCAGAATTTTTCCTTTCATGAACTATAAAATCTCCAAGTCTGAAAACACTACAAAGGAAACACTACAAAGGTTGCACCAAAACATCTAATCAATATACTATTTGACAGTGGCTTATTAGTGAGAACTTTGCTGCCAACCCAAAAGTATACAGTTCGAATCCACCAGAGATTCCATGGAGAAACATGTGTAATCCCACGCCTCTAAGAACCAACTGGAGGATCACCTATGGGAGGGTTCCAACTCGATGGTATTCAGCAAGAACTGAGACACAAAATTAACTAACCAAAACAGGTTTTATATATAATTTTCATTTGGGAGATAAAATCTCAATATTTATTGTATACTTTCTGAGAGGCAGGCACCATACTACATGTTCTCACACAGGTTATATCTTATTTTCACCATGTGTTCCATACTCTTTCCCTTGCTCCCTGTCAATTTTTTCCAAATGGAAAAACTGGTTATGACACTCAGCTCCCTGGGTGCTTTGGAATTAACTCTATCTCCTTCCCAAACCTCCAAGTTGTCAATTTATGTCATAAAATATGTCAATCTGCCTAGGCCATGTTTCTCAGAATTATATAATTCTCTTTCATTTTGTAATTTCACTGTTAGCTTATGTATTACAAATCCTATGATCTTAATGAGGTAGGACATAATGGACAAAATTCAGTTGAATTTTAGTTTATCAGTTCTGAGATATAAAAGAGATTAAACAAGTGAGCTGAGACTGAAAGGACCTCAATATTACCAAAGGCCAGTTCTTAGAAAAGGACACCCTACTTAAAAAGGTAGAGGGGTCAGCCAGAGACAATAAAACCTTCAACAAAAGGGACTAACAGTGACAGTAGTGAGCTGAGACTCAGCAGAGAGTGTTAAGATTCCTTCATTTCCCTGTGACATCCTGAATGTATTAATAATAGTAAAATGTTAATTATATTTTAGAAAAATCATGCACAGAGTAGTATTTTCTAAATGTAATTTTAAAACACTTTTAAATAAGAAACTGAATATTCCTGAATGTGAAAATATTTCCATTAGAGTTCTATACTATGGTATCTCAACATTTAAAATGTAATTTGGGGGCTAAGACATATCCACTAAAATTTTGGTATGGTAACTTACTTTCACAAGCTTATAATATCTCTCAATATCTATTTAAGGAACAATTATTAAAATTTTTAAATGAAAAAACATTTAAATATATGCATCAGCTTTTTTCTTCCAAGTCAATTTTACCAATTTAATATTCATTTGGTGAGTAAGAGGGAAAAGAAAATGTGCAATAACAGGAAAAAAAAGAAAGTAAAACATTTTCTATTTAAAAAAAAGAAATGATTTTGTTACAAACCTGGGCTCGTTTTTCTCTAAGTTCTTGCTGCTGTAGTCTCCTTTTCTCTCGCTTTTCTTGTAACTTCTCCACTTCTTTCACACAATTTGATTTTCTACGTGCTGAAAGAAACAGAGATCAACTATTAAAGTAGCTTTCTTTTTTTAGGCTACTCTACTTATACACAAAAATATTCTGTACAGTCTCACCAATCACACACACAGATATATGTGCACAGTGACAAAGCATGCCTACAGAAACCATGTGATCTTCACTTATGAGCTGCTTTAACAAAAAAACTAGGAACAGGACAATATACAAATGAAAGTCAATAAAATGACTCAAACATATTGATTATTACATGTCATCTCTTGGTCTAAAATTAGAAATGATGAAGAAATATATAAATTTCTTTTGTAACATCTGAAAAATTATCATACGGGTGATATTTTAAACTCAAAGCAACTGAAATGTACTTATATTTAAATAATTTTCTTCTTAAAAAATACAATTAAAAACTCAATTACTGATCAAACAGAAAAAGAGAAAAAATATTACATTTTCCAGTGATAAAATGTACAATCAAATCCTTACTTAGACTGTTTACCACCTGGGAATTTGTAAGGATGACCAAGAGAGAATACATGTATGCCTAGAATGACTGAATCCTTTATACATGATTTACATACAAGGGGGTCCAAATTCCTTTTTTGCAGCTTGAACTGGAGATATATCTGAAACACTACCATTCTGTTGTGCTGAGGAAGACTGCTCAGGAAGCTGATTAGGCCGTGCACGTGCAGAACCAACCACTGTAAGTGAAAAATAGTATGTCACAACAGAAAATAAGAAAAGGTCAAAAGAACCTTGATACTCCAAAAACATCATTAATCCTCACATAGAACTACCAACTTTTTTATTTAAATGGGGAGATATAGTATAATTCTGTTCCATCAAGTGACATAAACTAAAATGTTTTCAATTTAACACACATGCTTTGGTTAACAATATAATTTCAGCTAAAAAAAGTCTATTTAACTTATATAAAAGTCAAACATAAAAAAAAGTCAAATATGAATTTTAAAATTGTGGGCAAAATGTAGGTAACAAAACATACATTATTTCAATCAAGTCTGAATGTGAAATTCAGTGACAAAGATGGCATCCTTCAAGTGGTGCATCCATTCTTGCTATCCTTTCACAAATCTTTCAATCACTTTTTACGTAAATTCAATGCCTATCAAACAAAAACTTACCTTTTCCCTCTCTCATTTACCCTTAGTAATCACTAATTATGTTTAGTTGCTATATATTTGCTTATTTTATATAAGCAGCATGATAATATTTCTTTCTGCAATTGACTGATTTTACTCAGCATGTTAGTTTTAACTCATCCAAGCCGAAGCATCTGCCAGAACTGTGTTCTTCTTTATGGCTGAGCAGTAGTTCATTGTGTTTGTACACCATGTTTTATATATTCATCCGCTGATATGTACTTCAGTTATTTACATATTTTGGCTATATTGTGAAAAGTATCACAATAAACACTGGTGTACACATATCTATACATCTACAGTATTCGAATCTTCACTTCTGGGCAAATGGCTATAGTTAAAAACATTCTTTGATGAAATGCAAACTGTTTTCTACTGTATCATTTTATATTCCTATTAGTAATAAGTGAAGGTTCTAGTTTCTTCACAACTTCATCATATTTTGTGGGTTGTTTTTTTTATCAATGTCATTTTAATGAGGTGATGTGGTCTCACTGAAGCTGCTATTTTCATCTACGTTTGTACACTGGTTGTGAGCTGAGTAAAAAGTTGGTGGTCTGAACTTACCAGAAGCTCCTTGGGAGACAGATGTGACAATGTGCTTCCATGAAGTTTTACAGTTGTTATAGATTGTCACTGCTGTCATGTGCTGCTGAGTTGGAATTGGCCCATAGCTGAACCTCCAGTGGGTTTTCAGAGACAATAAACCACACAGGAAGAGACTGTTCATCTTTCTCTCCCACTAAGCTGCTGACAGAATCAAACCACGTGCCTTTCGGTTGGCAACACAGCTCCTTATCACTTATGCACTGTAATTAACTAATTACATTAACCAGTAGCAATAAATAGTATAGAAAAAAAATGTCTAGGAATGATTGTAACAAACTAATATGATTTGTAAAAAATCACTAAAAAAAAAATTCTAGCTTTTAAGGAATTCTGTACAATAGTCTATACCATATTGTGTTGCTATTCAAAAGATGTAGTCTTGGAAACCCTTTAAGATCGCTATGACTTGAAATCAACTTAAAAGCAAATGGTTTAATTTTTTTTGCTGGATGACGACTAAAGACAGTGTACATTTTTCCACAGGCTGGAGAAAGGAGGAGCTGTCTTCAAGCTGTAACGTTGTAAACCTTTCTATTTATTTTGGTTATTAGATTCTAATGGCTTCATGGTTCCCAAAAATGTTCTTCCAAGATATAGGTTCTCTTTTCACTGCTGTAATAAAGTCTGTTCATGAACAAGAGTATTTAATTCTTATGAGGTCCCACTGATTTGTGTTTGCTGTGTGTGTTAGACTGTTGTTATATTTTAGAATCCATCACTGACAAGCAGGAGTGTCATCCACTTCCGTAAATAGCTTGTCTCGGGAAACCCTATGAACATGGAGAAAGGATGAAAGTAATGTAACTGTCGAGGACTTTTGTTCATAGGGTTGCTATGAGTCGCCTATGACTCAATGGCACTTAACACCAACCTCACTGACAATAAGGGGCAGCCGACATGCCTCTATATTTTCTAATTACTATTTTGTCTTTCACATTCAGGTTCTTGATCCTTTTTGAATTAGGTTTTTTTGTGTATAGTATGAGATGTAGATCCAGATTAATTTTGCAATTGCAAATTCCACGTCTCCAGCACAATTCATTGATGAAAATGCTCCTCCTGAATCACCTCCTGAAGAACTCAGCACCCTTGGTGAAAATCAGATGACTATAGATGTGGATTTATTTTTGGATGCTATTTAACTGGTCTATGTCTGTTATTATTCTAGCACCAGGCTCCTTTAATTACTGCAGCTTTATGGTAACTTTTGGAATTAGGAAGTGTTAGTACTATTTTATTCTCCTTCATCAGACTATTTTAGTTATTTTGGGATCCTTTACTCTTTCATATAATCTTGAAAATTAACTTTTCTATTTCTGCAAAGAGGGATGTTGGACTTTTAAAGGAGATTGTAGAGGACTTATAGATTGCTTTGGGTACAATGTATATCTTAACTGCATTAGTCTTCCAATCCACAAACACAAAATATTCTTAAATTTATTTAAGGCCTTTTATTAAGACCTTAAATTTTATTAAGGCATTCTTTAATTTCTTTTAGTAATGCTTTATAATTCTGTATACAAATCCTCCACTCTCTCAGTTTAAATTTATTCCAAGATATTTCATTCTTTTTGACGCTACTATGAATAATATTTTTTAATTCTCTTTTCCACTTCGTCTCACCACTGACGGACACTGATTCTGTGTGCTGATCTTTGTATCCTGCCACTTTATGGAATTAATTTATTAGTTCTAAAAGCTTTCTTGTGGATTTTTGAAAATTGGTGTGAGTTTCCTATACATAAGACTGGAAATGGGGACAGTTTTACATTCTTCCTATTCCTAATTTGCATACCTTTTTTTCTTTTGCCAAATTAACGTTTCTTTTGAATTCCTTTGCTTAACTACTCTGGCTAACAGCTTAAGTTGTTTCTTTTAGTAATACATTTTCTTTTATTTAGATGAGTAAGCAATTCTTTTACACACACATATCCCCCAAACCCCACCATCTATATACAGTTGTTTTAATCTAGTGAATTTAATTTTTAATAGTCTTTAAAAATTTAAAAAGTGTATGAGTTTTAAATGTACTCTCATTTTTGAAAATGTCACACAATTCAAAAGTACCCAAAATTAAAACATAAAAATATTTCAATTTCCTGTATTCTACTCTTCATTCTTCAAATACACTCATCTTCTGCAGAAAATTTCCGAGTAAATACTTTAAAAGCAGAAAATGTTAGTTAACTACAAACAGAAAATTTCAAAAGATTTACGTAGTGTTTAAAATAAGGGATTTTTCTAACTTTACTATCTATGTCTCTCCTGACCCATACAAACACTATTACTAGAAAGGACAAGTCTAAAATGCTGAACAGAAGAAAAGGAGTTAATTACGGTTTAAATTTCCTGGCTAAAATGTACGGAAGATCTCCAGTTAACTGCCTGTTCAACTTCCAAATTATCTGTTGTCCTTTTAGAAGCCTGTAGTTCAGAAAATTATACTTAATAATATTATGATTAAATTCACCCTTGTGACATCAATTAACTTATTCTTCTGCTCCTTACTTTCTTGTAACTGTTGTTTTGTGCCATAGCTGACCCTCCATCAGGTTTTCAGAGGCATTTAATCGCACAGAGTGAGAAAGCTCATTATCATCCATGGAGCAGCTAGTGGATTTGAATCATGTGCCTTTGGGATTGCAGTGCAGCTTCTTCCCACTAGGTCACCAGTTGTTGATGTTGTTATGTGCCGTCGAGTCATTTGCAACTCATAGTGACCCTATGTACAACAGCCATAAACCCTGCTTTATCCTATGCCAATTGCACTGCCTCTGACACACCCATCCTGATTATCTCAGTCACTGAATCAATCCACCTCATAGAGGGTCTTCCCCTCCTGCACTGTCCCTCCACCCTGCCAAGCATGATGTCCCTCTCCAAGAACCCGTCTCTCCTTACAATATGTCCAAAGTATGTCAGACAAAGCCCCAGAATTCTTGCCTGCAAGGAGTAGCCTGGTTTAATCCTCTCCAGGATGAATATGTTTGTTTCCTTGGCAGTCCATGGTACATTCAATCCTCTTCTCCAGCACCACAGCTCAAAGGCATCAATTCTCCTTCTATCCTCCCTAGTCACTGTCCAACTCTCTGATGCATAACAAGTGATTTCAAAAACCATGGCCTGTATCAGGCGCACCTTAGTCTCCAGAGAGACACCGTTGCTCTTGAGTACTTTAGAGAAGGTCCCTAATAGCAGACTTTCCCATTGCAACACGTTTTTTTATTTCCTGGCTGCTGGTGCCAAGAGTGTTGACCGTGGAGCTGAGCAAACTGAAGCTGTGAACAATCTCAATCTCTTCACCATCCATCCTGATGCTACCAATTGGTCCAGTGGTGAGAATCTTTGAGCTTCTCAAATTACATTATAATATTAGGAAATAAGATACTAAACATCAAATTAACTAAAAAAGGTAAAGTTTAAAACAATAATAACAATGTTAGGAATAAATTTATTTCTTAAAGTGCCACAGCTATACTAAAAAGCAACCGATAAAATGAATAGATAAATGTTTTATTTCACCTCTATTATCCCTTGGTGGAGGATCATTCTTAATAGAAGCCACAGTCCGTCGATTCTACAAAAGAATAAAATGTTCATTATTTTTAATTCTATATACATAATCCTAAATATGAAATAATAATGATAATGATAATAATAATATAAATAAGATATTATAAAACGCTTGTTCACTGTCAGTTAATCAATCTAAAAAGGATTTACTGGCTTGGACACAAAACAAATCACTGCCACTGAGTTGCTTCTAACTCACTGACTCAAAAATCAGGTTTCAGACACTGTCACTGTTAAAAACAGGATAGTGTTTATCTTTCTCTTGCAAAGGTGCTGGCAAATTCAAACAGCCAACATGAGTTCTTTTGTTTAGCAATACAATTACACCACCATAACGGCTCTACGTAGCTTTTTATAGCAAATTCTTGGTCTTTTTTTTTTTTTTACTAATCCAAATTTTATGTCTTTGTCTGAGGAAAAAAAAAAGATCCTAATTACTGTCGTCATTCTTAACTGTGACTATATTCAAATTAGATTTTGTTGTAAATTCTAACTCACAGCCAACTCTATGGAACAAAACACTGCCCAATCCTATAGTATTTCTATAATCATAGTCATGTTTAAGCCACTGCTGTAGCAACTTTGCCAATCCATTTTTTAAATGTCTTCCTTTTTTCCTCACTGGCTCTCTAGTTTACAAAACATTATTTCCTTCAGGAACTGGTCTCTCTAGATACTATGCCCAAAGTATGTAAAACTAAATCTAGTACCCTCCCTTTAAGAAGCATTCTAGCTGAGAGAGTTGTTTGTTCTTCTAGTTGGTGGTGTTGCTGTACATTGTTGATTTAGAGTGAACTCATAGCTGACCCTCCAGCAGGTTTTCAGAGGCAGTAAATTGTTTGGGAGCAGACTGCCCATCTTCCTGCAGAGTAGCTGGTAGATTCAAACTGTATACATTCGTACTGGGAGTACAATTCCTTCCTCCTAAGTCACCAGAGCTACCTGTGTTCTTCTGGTAGTCCATATATATAATCCCTATTCTTCAGCAACACTATAATTTATATACACTTATTCTTCCAGTTGTTCAAATGGATACTGTAAAGATTGTGTAGGAGCAGCATGGGTTGAGCAGAGTTTGACCTATACTAATTCCACTAAAGAGAACTATCCCCATCAACAAGATCCAGACATGGTTTTCTATGTTCCTGCACCTACTTCTACGAATTCCAACACCAATCTTACTCCTCTATTAGGTCCAAAATCCATTGCAATGATCATAAAGAGTTCACAGAATGGTACTCGTGATTATGGGAGTTTATTAGGGAAATTAACAGACTATATATACACGACTCAGGCTGGCAGCATAATATGATTCCTCAACATAGCTTCACAAGTAGTGTAATTCCTTAGTGCAGACATATTCTCTGTGTTCATGAGCCCTTGGACCTTCAACCTCATGGCTTAAGTTACACAAAGTTATCTTAGTCCTGTGAATTGGGGCGTTTCCTCTAGGTAAGCTTGAGCAAAGGTTTTTGGCTCTATAGGGCAGCAGTCTTAAGTTAGCTCTATCATATGTCAGTCTCCGGTTCTCTGCTAAGGCTGGGGCTGCTTCTGTATAGCTCTTGGTCTGAATGAAATCTCTGGCCTCGAAGAAGGCATGCTGCACTCTCTGGTTCTTCTTCCTTGCTGCCATGGAATCTGCTCAACCCTGATGGGATGGCAAAACTAGCCAACACCTTTGTGTACAGACCAGCATACCCTATTTGCATGTTCTTGTCCAGTCATATGACATAAAGTCAAAGGCAATGGTCTAGAAAAGCAGTTTTGAACAAAAGATCCAATACATGATAGGCTGAGGCATTCCTTTTGTTGCTGTTGTTGTTACATGCCGTCAAGTTGTCTGAGACTCATATTGACCCTATGTACAACAGCTCTGAACCCTGCTCTATCCTAAGCCAACTTCAACATCTCTGACACAACTACCCCATTACTCCAGTCACTTAGTCAATCCATCTTATCCAGGGTCTTCCCCTTCTGTGCTGTCCCTCCACCCTCCCAAGCATGATGTCCCTCTCCAAGGACTGGCCCCTCTTTGCAACATGCCCAGAGTATGTCAGATGAAGCTTCAGAAGCCTTGCCTCCAAGGACAAGCCTGGTTTCCCCCTCTCCAGGATGAACCTGTTTCAGTCCACAATATATTCAATACTCTTCTCCAGCACCACAGCTCAAAGGCATCAATTCTCCTTCTATTATCCTGAGTCATTGTCTAGCTTTCTGATACTTAGCATGTAATTGTGAAGATGATGGCCAGGAAGAGGTGCACCTTAAGTCTCCAGATTGACATTGTTCCTCTCCAATACTCTGGAGTTGTCCTTGACAGCAAACTTTCCCAATGCAATTCGTCTTTTGATTTCCTGGCTGCTGGTACCAAGTGTGTTGATGGTGGAGCCAAGCAAACTACAGCTGTTAACAATGTCACTGTCTTCATCATCCATCATGATGCTGCTATTCAGCCCAATGAAGAGAATTTTTGTTTTCTTGATGTTGAGCTTCAATCCATATTAAAGGCTGTAGTCCTTGATCTTTAGATAAAATCTTTGGGGAGTGGAGCCTCAAAATCAGTATCTGAAAAAATTCTCCAGGTGATTCCAATATACAGCAGAAGTTACTAATGATATACAAAGAAGGATAAACCATGAAAATTTTCCAAGGCTTTTAAAAATGAAAAATATTGTATTTACATATGGTAACTAAAGGCTCTCAAGAGTCCTAAAGTACAGTAGTTAAGCACTTGCCTGCTAATCAAAAGGTTGGTAGTTTTAACCCACTAGCTCCTTCCTGAGAGAAAGATGTGGCAGTATGATGTGGCAACTATGTGGTCTTACTGATCAATGTGTTGCTAGAAGACTCTGGGCATCTGTACAGGGTTGCTGAGTGTCAGAACTGATTCAATGGTAATCAATAACTTCTAAGCACTTGGCTCTTAATGGAAAGGCTGGGCAGTTCAAACTCTTTCAGTGGCTCTGTAAAATAAAGATCTAACAATCTGCTACCTTAAATACTGAATTATATATTAAGCAGTGATTTTTAAAAAAATATGCTTCTTCTTGTTGTTATGTGCTGTTGAGTCAATTACGACTCATAGCAACCCTAAGTACAACAGCCCTGAATCCTGCTCCAACCTGTGCCAATCTATTAAATATGCTTAATAGGAACTAAAAGTTTACCTTATATTCATGCTCGTGATTCACAAAACAGATGATTTTGTTGGTAAAGCTCAAAATCCAACCATTTTAAATTAGATAAAATGCCTATGTCACCTGCTTTGACTTTTCATAACTAACCTTTACAATTTTGTTTACTTTGGCTGAGGATGTTGGAGGTGGAGGTGTTTCTGGACTGGGTTCAATTTCTTCATCAGGAACAAGGTCAGGGTTAAGGGAAAAGATGCTCTCCAGGTCAATCTGTTTAAAACATATGCACACAACTTCCAAATTTATTTTGACAAGTAACATATTACATTTCATATGACCTAAAACAGAGTATCTACTTCTTGAATGTTATCCTAAGAATGATCTGCAAACACCAGAGTTAACCATATAGTAGTTTCTAAATTCCATGTGAATAATTTTAAATATAAACCAGTATTTCTGTAATCTAATAGGACATGGAATTAGAAATAGATATTTCTAAGAGTAAAAATTATTAATCAGTTGAAATAGCTTCATGAAATTATAAAGAATACATGTATCATACAAAAATTATATACATTTTGGTTTTCTTTCATACTTAAAATCTTGATTGCAGGTCTAGTAATAACAATAATTAATTTAGAGATCATACCTCTTTGCCTTTTGTGTCTCCATTTTCTATCCACTCAACAGTTACACTTTCATTATCTTCATTTAAGGATGTTACCATTGCTTGATGTATCCGGCCTGAGTGAAAAATAAAATATTTTAAAAGATCACAACTAAGAATTCTCAAACATTATAACATATCCTTTTATATACTTGTGTGTTTTAATGATAATACTTTCCTCACAAAGGATTTCTACAGACTTAACATTAGAGAATGAGCTTTGTCCACAAGCTCATATATCAAAATTTGTAGCCTGTCAAACCATGAATCCATGAAACTGAACGAGAGAGCAAGCGAGAGAGCGCGCGCACGTCCTTCTTTTTAACATATATAATGCTCATACAGTCCCTATTTGAATATCTTAAGCAAAACTGAAGTAAGAATTAGGAAGGCAAGAGTTTTATTAGGTAATAATGGCTGTAGAAGAGAAAAATCTAATTGTCACTAAGCTGGACCCAATACATAGCTGACTCTCCAGACAGTTTTCAGGAGGTTATAAATTACACAGGAAGAGACTGCCCATCTTTCTCCCTCAGAGTCATTGGTAGACTAAAAATGCCAGAGAGGTACCACCTGTTATCCCTGTGAAAGATAAACAGGGTACTGAGTATGAAAAATTTTCCAATCATGACTATTGTTATGATGTACCATCGAGTTTTCTGTGACTCATAGCAACCCTGTGTACAACAGCCCTAAACCCTGCTCTATCCTATTCCAATCTTATTGTCTCCAACACACCTACTTCCATTACCCCAGCCACTGAGTCAATCCATCTCATCTAGGGTCTTCCTCTCTTGCACTGTCCCTCCACCCTCCCAAGCATGATGTCCCTCTCCAAAGATGGGGCCCTCTTGCAACATGCCCAAAGTATGTCAGATGAAGCTTTAAGAACCCTTGCCTCCAAGGAGTAGGCTGGTCTCATCCTCTCTAGATGAATCTGCTTATTCTCCTAGCAGTCCATGATCTATTAAGTACTCTTCTCCAGAACCACAGCTCAAAGTCAACTCTCCTTCTGTCATTCCTAGTCATTGTCAAGCTTTCTGATGCATAGCAAGCAATGGCAAAGACTATGGCCTGGATCAGGCACACGTTAGCTTCCAGACTAACATTGTTGCTCTTCTGTATTTTGGAGATGTCTCTGACAGCAGAATTTCCCAATGCAATTTGTCTTTTGATTTCCTGGATGCTGGTACCAAGAGTGTTGATTGAGAAGCCAAACAAACTAAAGCTGTTAACAATCTCATTCTCTTCACCATCTATCATGATGCTGCCAATTGGTGTGTTTTCTTGATGTAGAACTACCATGATACAAATCTGAAATCTGTGAAGGAAGCTTGACAGGAAACAGAATAGCACTGAAAGACTTAGCCTTTGATGTAGATCTGATAATCTCGGACAATCCTTCAGAATTCCAAGGTAAAGACTGTTCACTGCTGTTGTTGTTGCATCGGATGGGAACCAACCCATAGCTGACCCTCCAGAGGGTTTTCAGAAGCAGTTAATTGCACAGACGGAGATGGCTCATCTTTCTCTCATGCTGCAGCTGGTGGATTTGAATAGGGTACCCTGGGATTGTTAGTGCAACTCCTTCCTACTAGGCCACCACAGGTCCCTAAAGACTGCACATGAATACTGTATTAAATCAAAATGGACAAGCTCTTCTATACCTAACATGTTCAGCCACTGTTGGTACTTCCCAGGTAAACAGGATTTCAGCTCAAATGCTAATGATTTTCAAGGTACTAGCAACCAGGAAGCATCTGCTTACTGCATTCACTTTTGTGTAGGTCCTATACATTCAGGTAGAACTGCCATTTTGGCACCAAGCTCCACATCATCATTTTCATATGAACATTTCACATTTTATATGAAGCTGAGACTCAAGTTACTTTCAACTTCAATTATTCTAGCTATCTCAAAACAGAAATAATTCCAAGTGGGGACAAGATTACAAGAACTGTTTTGAGAACAGTGGACTGTTTAAATATAAGCTGTTAGGGGAGCTCTGGTGGCCTAGTGGCAAGAAGCTACACTGCAATCCCAGAGGCGCATGGTTCGAATCCACCAGATGCTCTGCTGGGAAAGGAGGGACAATCTCCTCCTGTACCAGTCAGAACTGATCTGACGGTACACACACACACACACAATTTAAAAAAATTAAATTTAAGATGTTGATATGATTTCCTTAATAGGAAACTGTTCTGAGAACAGTGGACTGTTTAAATATAAGCTGTTAGGGGAGCTCTGGTGGCCTAGTGGCAAGAAACTGCGCTGCAATCCCGAACACATGCAATTTGAGGTCACCGCAAAGAAGGATGAGCAATCTTCTCCCATGCTTGATTAAACTGCCTCTGAAAACCCACCAGAGGGTCAGTTATGAGTCTACGTCCAACAACAACATCATGCCATTAAAAAAAAAAAGGGCACCTGCTGATATGAGATGGATCCCAGCTGAAAGCCAAGAATACTAGAAGGAGGTCTATTTGTGTTTCATTGATTATACAAAGGCATGTAACTATGTAGATCATAACAAACATGGCTAACACTGCAAATAATGGGAATCCCAGAAGACTTAATTATGCCATATGAAACCTATGCCTAGACAAGAAGCTGTTGTCCAAATAGATCAATGGAACACTACATGATTTAAAACCAGGAAAGTTATATGTCAGGGCTGCATCCTTTCTCCATACCTATTCAATCTCTATGCTGGCTGGACTCTATGAAGAATGTGGCATAAAAGGACTGGAGGAAGATTCATCAACAACCTACATTACTCAGTTGACACAACCTTGCTTGCTAAAAGTGAGGAGGACTTGCACCACTTACTGTGGAAGATCAAAGGGTAGGGTATAGCTTTCAATAATGGATTGTTTCTCAATATCAAAAAAACACACACAAAAAAATCCTCATTCTCACCACTAGCCATCTCATGATGGACAGATAAAAGATGGAAATTGTCAATGATTATCAACTTATTTGGATTCATAAAACAATGTCCTTGTATCAGCATCCAGGTGATCAGGATACATACTGGACTAGGTAAGTACACTGTCAGGGACAAATTACTGAGGAGCAATAATATCAATCTGAAGAGTAAGGTGGGCCTGATTTAGGCCACGGTCTTTTCAATTACTTTCTGTGTAAATGAGGGCTGCACAAAGAATAAGGATGACAAAAGGATAATTAATGCCTTTGAGATGTGGTGTTGGAGTAGAATATCGAATATCCCATGGACTGCCGAAAGAACAGATATGTCTTAGAAAAAGTGCAGCCAGAGTGTTCCTTAGAGGCAAGGACAGTGAAACTTTGTCTCATATACACTGGGTATGTTGTTAGGAGAGGCTGTTCCTTGGAAAAGGACATTATGCTTGGAAAGATGATGGTCAGTGAAAGAGAGGAAGACCCTTAACAAGATGGACTGACACAGTATTAACAGCAATAGGCTCAAGGATGTCAGAGACGATAAGGATGGCATTGGATAGGGCAGGGTTCAGTGTTGTGCACATGGTTGCTTTGAGTCACATTTGACTTGAAAGCATCTAACAAAAATCATCAAGAAGAAAATTTCACAAATTAATAAAAATGACTATTAAAATGTCATCACGAATAATCTCAAGGAACCCCCCCAAAGCATGCTAAATAGGCAAACAGCTGCAATCTTCAGACTCTATATGGCACCTTTTTTTGTGAGCTATTAGCTGCAAATGTAGTTAATAAAGACATTAAATAATAATAGAAAAAGATACAGGTGCTATTTTTCAAAAAAGGATGTGTATGAAGCTGTTGAAAACTCTACATATAGCAAAGGGTCTTCAAGCAACTGCCAACAAAACTACCACAACAATGAGAACTGGAAAATCATGTGATGGTCCAAAAGATGAGAAAACATGCCTCCTAGTCACTACCTACCCCAATATTCAAGCCTTCCAGAGCAGTGAAGAGGGGTGGAGTACACTGACAACCAGGCTGGGAGAGAAAAGGTAGACTACTGGGTCAAAATAAGGGTTCTAAATCACAATTTCACAGGGACTCTAACCAACAACGATGTCTAGAAAGCCTTAAATCACATGTTAAAAGTGAAAAAAGCGGCTAACTCTAAGCTCTAGAGGCAGGCAAGACTGAGAAAATGTTTGCTTATCTCTACAATTAACTTGCTGAACAAGAAATGATTATGAAATTGCAACAATAAGAAATAATAAAAAGATTAAAGATGAACAAAGTCTTAGGTGCTTGCTTGTTCCAGCTGGTGAGATAATCTAAAAGAATACTATCTGCAGCATGAATATCATTTTTACCAAAAGATGTCTCTAAGAAATGTCTTTTTTATGCTTCACTTTTTCCAATAACAATTTCATTCAATCATATATGAACATTTTAATAACATTAATAATAAAAGATTAATTAATTCCAATGTCTAATCAACCTCTTACTGTATATTGTCATTCTCTTCACCCACCCTAAGACTTTTAAGAAGAAATTATTTAATATCAGGTTAAAAAAATTCCCACTTAATTTTTTTCCAAAGTTAAATTACAGGCACCCATTATTAATGGCATTAAACAAAAGAATACAAAGGGACATACAAGTGAGATTACTCAAAAAGGGGAAAAAGCTCACTGAATTGCTGATAAAATACAGGATAAGATATAGAAAAGTTTCAAGGCTATATTACAGTTTTAACAGGAAAACATGGATGAATTTATTTTAAGCCTTAGTTGTAGGGAGTTCTGGTAGCCTAGTAGTAAGAAGTTGCACTGCCAAACTGAACGCATAGGTTTGAATCCACAGCTGCTCCACTGGATAAAGATGTGTAATTTCCTCCCATGAGAAAACTAATGGAGGGCCAGTTATGAGTTGGGTACAACTCTATGGCACATTAATAACAAAACAATGATTGCTAAACAGATCAAAGAATGGATGAAACTAAGATTACTAGAGCTAAAAAATTACAGATCAGTGCTAAACCTGGAGGACAGCTACCTGACTAACTCACTGCAAGAGATACACATTTCCCAAAAAAGGTGATACAACAGAATATGGAAATTGAAACAGTATCACATGCAAGCAAAATTTT